CGTGGCAGAAGAACATAAGAGAGCCCACGTCCACAGCGGCCATCAGTAGGGCAGAGCCCTGCAGCCTCAGCACCTCCCATTAGCTGCCCCCGGCACTGTTGCGTTGGAGTTGTTTCCAACTGAATTTGGAGGACACACTCAAGCCGCAGCAATGAGTCACACGGAACTGTTCATCATCTGTAATTCAGAGACGCCTTCTGGCGGACGCAGGCTCTGGATACCCCACTCGCTCACTCGTTTTCCATGTATTCTGAGCTGCCCTGCTTCCGGCCCTCTGTTGCAGACCGTGACTAAGACCACCAAGAATGTGTGCCCCTCTGCCTCTCAGCCTTCACCAACGTGGAGGGCAGGCAACCTGGTGTAAGAACAAGCGCAGGCTCACATCCTGGTGCCATGACTTACCCGCTGCGCCCTGGGGTCCAACAACTTAACCACCCCAAACTCCATTCATCCATGTCACTGAGGTTGGCTGAACTTACCTTGAAAGGTCGCTCTGAAGAGTGAATTATTCCTTGCACAGGAATGTTTACTGTAGTCTGTGGCCCAGAAGAATTGGTACTTTGAAACTTCAAAACCTCCTTGTTATTGGGTACCTTAAGAGGACTTGGTCCTATTTGTGATGAGGGAGCTTTGCCCTCTCTAGGGGTAGCGCCAAATAGCAACACGGACTTTGAGAAGGTGGTACCGCAGCCCTGCCTTCCCTCCCTGATCCCAGTGCTCTTTCTTGGAGAACTTTATTACCACCATCACGTTACAGCGTACCTGCCACCATGAATTAGTCTTCTAAAACCATGAGCCCCAAATTCGCTTTCCCTCCTGAGAGTTGTTCTTGGTATCTTGGTCACAGAGGTGAAGAGCAGGCGCTGTCTAGTTATTGTGCCTGGATGTCACATAATCCACACCACAGCCCTGGTGGGATTAGGAGCTGCGCTAGGAACGATTTCCCAGGTGATGCAATGCAGGCAACAGGGCAAAGCCAGGCTCCTAACCCAGGTGGCTGTCTCCAGTGTGCACACCTGGCCCTGCCCCCTCCTGGCTCGTTGACCTTATCCCCTGAAGCTTTGAGCCCACATTGGAAGGTGACAACAGCGAGAAGCTTCTCCTGGGGTAGTGGAGGATGACGGGGAAGCCGTGGGCCCAGCGTTCTTTGGAAAGAGGCAGGATTTGGGGCAATTTTCAGTGAGGCTAATTGTACAGTGGAGGACAAGGTGCAGAGAGGAGAGGGGCCAGGCACTGAGGATGTCACAGTGCCCCTGTCGTCTCTTAAAGATCAAAGAAATACGACTCATTTGCTGAGACCGTTGCCTGGTCATGCAGCACATGCCTACAAGGCCCCAGTGCTGCGGAAGGTGGTTCAGGTGGCCTCCGGGAGGTCCCCACTCACCATGGGGTCCCAGTGCCACAAGTAGGCTGCCCACAGTGTACTGCTGTCCTTGAGGGGGTCTGTGTGCATGGTGCATAGGAAGGCAGGGGCATCACCTGGCTTTCTTACTGGGCCTCGGGGCCAGGGAAGGCTCCCCGGGCAGCAGAGACCCTGAGGAAACCTTGGGACTTGCAGCTCCTCAGAGATTGACCTGCCGGAGGTTCATCCCAATAGGTAGTGTGTACAGCTGGCCCTGCTCCCTCCTAGCTGGTTGACCTTATCCACTGAAGCTTGGAGACCACATGTGGAAGGTGACAACAGCGAGAAGCTTCTCCTGGGGTAGTGGAGGATGACGGGGAAGCCGCGGACACAGCGCCTGGGACGAGGTGAGAAGTCATAGCACACAGGCATCTGTCAACTTCCCCATTATTGTCATCATGGTCATTACCACGGTAGTCACGGCCATGTTTTGGAAATGAATCCCAAACGGCAGGACAGGTAACAGAGGGAATTTTGTTGCTGTTGCGGCATTATTGAGAGAGTTCGTTGGTCTTAGATTTTTGAAGCTGGAAAAATCTCAGACACTTTATAAGTCCCTGTGATCTCATAGAAATCTGCACGACTGGAATCAATGTGTGAAAAGAGCAGAGTTTGTTTTTACCCCAGTTGAAAATGTGCAATGACATAATGTAACCCTTTAAGATAACAGGAGCCAGCTGCCCCATTCATATTTAAATATGAGTCACCTTCCAGGGAGACTTGCAAGATTCTATGTGCCAAGCTGGAAAAGTAAAAATTGCCAGCAAGGAGGGAAAGAATAAATTCACACTTGAAGGATGTGTTACAGAGCCACCCCGCACAGCAGATTCTGGGGGCAGAGAGAGGCACCCTGGTGGCCAGAGGAAGAACTGCGGAGCCACAGTGCCACAATCCATGCGGAGACCTTAAGGTACCAGGAGGGTCCCTTCCACTTGATTAAAAATATTTTGTGTTCTGTATAAATGGCCCCTATTTCCAGGCACAGGTGCATCTCTGCTGCCATGATTGTTAGAAACACAACATAGTAATTTCTGAATAACACCCCCAGCTGCTGAGACCTCAGTGTTTGACTGGCCAGCCATCTCCAGGGTCTCCCAGGACAGCAGAGCTCTCTTAGAAGAAAGAGTCAATTCCAAGTCCCATCCATGGGGCCAGCAAAGGTAAGGGCCGAAATTACAAATGAATGCCGCTCTTTGTGTTTGCTGAGAAACTGTCACAACAAACAAAAACAGACATGTATTAATGCTTGGGAACGATATTTTAAAAAGCTAGTTACATATATTTATTGAATTGATGTACAGCCAATTGCATGAGGCTTCAGGTTAGTGTCAAAGAATGATAGACTTCTAACTAGGGTCTCTGATGGCCTGATCAGGTTTGCTATTTGCCTGCCATTGTGAATTTCTACCTGAGATAATTCAGGATCAGTGATCAGTGGCTGAATCAAAACCTAGAAGTCACTTTAATGTTGCAGTTTGCGTCAGGCTGTGGCATAGAGAAATCCATGTTCCTGTAAAACACCCTGCTCACCAGGAATGGCAGCAGGTGCTACCCTAGGAATAGAAGCAGATTGTTAGAGGAGATAAACCAGCAAGTATGAAGGTGAACTTGAGTTTCATCTTTCAATAAAACCTATTGGAGGATAACTCAGCCATATGAATTCTAGACTTTGACTTCTAATTTGAATTCTTCTAATTTAACCACGTAATTCAAGATGTACATAGGCATTTGGCAGTGAGGGCGTTTAGAATAGCATTGTGTACTTGCTATTGACGATGAAAGATTGTTAATGAAAAAAGAGTTGAGAATTTATCATATCAATACAGTGAAATATTTTGTGCTGTTAGAAGGATTGTTTAGAATTACATTTATGGAGACATAAAGATATACCCTATATATTGCAAATAATATGGTTGGTTGGTCTGGTTTTGTCTACTGTGATCCCATTTAACTAGAATCTTTGTCATTAGGTTCAAAACATTGAAATAAGGCTGCGGGAGGCACATGCCTGTAATCCCAGAGACAGGGGAGGGTTAGGCAGGAGGATCAAAAGTTTAAGGCCAGCCTCAGCAATTTAGTGAGGCTCTGAGCAACCTAGTGAGACCCTGTCTCAGAAAAACAAAAATAAAAAGAAGCTTTGGAGAACCAAATCACCCTGCAAGCCCTACCAGCCTCTGGTGCTAGGAATTGAACATAGGGCCTTGGGCATGCTAGGCAAGCACTACCACTGAGCTATATCCCATGTCCTTAAAAATAATTATGAAAGGTCTTTCCTATGTGACCTCTTTTCATTTCCATTAATTATTAGTTTTATTTTGGTGGAGTTTATTTTCTTAGCTGTGTAAAAGTAATATTTAGCCAGGTGTGGTGACACACACCTGTAATCCCAGCAGCTTAGGAGGCTGAAGCAGGAAGATCACAAGTTCAAAGCCAGCTTTAGCAATTTAGCAAGGCTCTAAGCAACTTAGTAAGACCTTATCTCAAAATAAAAATAAAAATTAAAAAAAAATTCAAAAAGGCTAGAGGTGTGGCTTAGTGGTTAAGAGTGCTCCTGGGGTCAATCTCAGGTATATTAAAAAAAAAGAAAAAAGAAAAGAAAAAGAAAAAAGAAAGAAAAAGAAAAAATTATTAGATTTCATTAAAGAGAAACCAAAATATATAACTTATTTTCTTAATTCCAAAGCTACTTGCTCATAAGAAAAGCCTACAGAAATGATCACCCGTGAGGATATTCCCACTGTAACAATGTCCCCATGAAGATTGTGGTGTCACTCATCTTCCAGAGAGGGAAGCATCCCGGCATTGAAGTTACCCGTGATGTCACGTTTACAGGTGTGTACATGTGTTTAGCTCACGGATCCTCATGCTTGGCCCCGCTGACGCTTGGGACTAAATAATTCCTTATCGTGGGGGACTGGGTGTTTAGCAGCTGTGGCCTCCCTTCACTCGGACACCAGGAGATTCTGTATCCCCCACCTCCTGAATTGCAAATAATGAAAAATGTCTCCAAAAGGACCCAATGTCACCTGGGGTGGGGGTGGGGCAAAAATGGAGCATTTGAGAACCTCCATTTTAGACTAAGATGAGCATTATTTCAGGACAGCAAGAACATGAATGATATGCCGTCTTCTTTCTGCTTATTTTGTCCTAAGGTACACACGTTGATGTGTATCACTTATGTATCAGAAGAAACTCAAAAGGCAAAACCATCCCTAATGAGCACATCCGCACCCCGAAAAGCAGAACTCACACTGTTGAATTTCTCACCGTCCTTGGAGTGGTGCCGTGCATCACAGTTTGTGGTGGCTTCATGCACACTTATCCTCAGTAGCCTTTAAATCTAGCGAGGCAGGTGGCTTAGGGTAATCACATTCCTTCTTTACAGATAGAAATGCTGAGCTCTACTACCATGTCACCCTACACAGCCGAAGTCACACTGGAGTTCAGCCCTCTTGGCCCCTGATCAGCCTTTTCCCTGTGCACAGTCCTCGAGATTCTGAGTTGTGTTTGCCCAGGGTTCACGTCCTGTGCTCAGGCAGACTCTTCAGGAGTAGGGAGCAGAGGGGCAGGGCACCTCCCTGCTGAAGGTGCAAGCCGCTGTGGGGCCCTGGTAGAGGACCACTTTCATGCTTGGGTTCCCCTGTGCAGTCCCACCTCACATTGGAGTTCTCAGTGCACGAGGGGGCTGACACGTGGCAGTCTGTGAGGTAGTCTCTATTAAATCGTTTGCATATTTAGCTTCTCTGTGTCCGGAATTCGCATTCATCTTGCAAAATTGTAACGGAGTTAATTCACTTGCCAGGGAGAAACCCTTCTGGGTTTCCCACTCTAGGGCATTTCTGGGGGTCTCTCCTCTTTTCATTGGTGCATTTCCTCTGATACAGTTAACACTAATGGGGACCAGGCATGTGTATGGACAGACGCACGAGCCCATGTGTTAGAAATTGAATCTCTCAGTCTAGGTGTGTCTTGGATAAGGTACAGTAATTATTATTATCCATTAATACCAGAGTGCACAAATATCACTGGGAAGTAAATATTTAATATTTCACACTCATTGCCTCCTTTTAGTTTTTCATTTGCTATTGTGCATAACAAGCAAATGGTACATACCTTCTTTCTCCCCTCTTAAAATTAAGCTCCTTTAATTTTGCAGAGCATCTAGTCGTTAAACACAAACTCTCTCATTTTCTCACATTGGATATTGAACATTCCAGCTATCTGCAGAGAAGTCGGCCTGTAGACAGAGGTGGGTGTGAGAAATCTTGTCTTAGACTTTCATTTTAAGAGCATTACTACCCGCCCCAGTGACTGCACTTTTAATTTAACCTACTGTGCTCACTTTCTTAGGTTTTAAAACTGACAAGTGAACCGGGAGGAGGGAGGCGTTATGTCGTGTTGGACTTGGCACAACTCCTTCCAAAGCAACATCGCCCGTCTTTGGACCCTGGAACAGAGCACAAAGAGGGAGACCGGCACATAATTTGGCTCTGCAAATAATTCTTGAATTAATCAAATCAGTCTGTGCCTCCTAACTCCTGCACTCCGCTCTTGGCTCCCCAGTCTGTTGGTCTGGCATCCTCTCCTGTTCTGTCCTTGGTGTGACCTTCACATCTGACCATTTGTCTTCAGGTTTGTGGCTCTCTGCTCTATGTCATTGAAGCCTGTGAGGCTCCGCCATGTCTCTGCTTGCCATCCATGACATTAATCCCCAAAGCTAACAGACGGCTCCCAGCACCCCTGTTTGTGTTTGCTTAGATTCAAGATTGCAAATGCAACTATGTCCAAGAGCCAGCGTCCACTGTGGGCTGTGGGGTAGGCAGGACCCAGGGGTGAGGAGGTCCAAGGTGAGCTCGAGACTGGGAGACCAGCCTTATCCAGCAGGAGGCGCTGTTTCTGCCCAGGTCCTGGTTCACAGGCACCCAGCCTTACTAGATCTTCATGAGTTTTCAAGAGAAGACAGAAATACAAACTTTGGGTTGAAATAAATCTATTTTTCCAATGCGACTCTCCACACCTAATTTCTAACATTGTGTGTAAATGTCAGGGAAAATTGAGGTTGAAATTTGGATGGTTGATAATGTTCAGGAATTAACATTGGCTCTGTTTGGTGTGATATTGATATCACAGTCATTTTATTAAAATGTCCTCATCTTTTACAAATCTTCACTGAAATCTTTACAGATGAATGATGGAACTTCTGAGATTTGTTTCAAAACAATCCAGCGGATTCAGGTGAGAGAACAGACACACAGGAAACGAGGGATATAAATGAAACAATATAGACGAGACACTGATGATGATTGAGGGCGCGTGACGGAGGGAGGAAGGCATTGATGTTAAATTTGCACATGTGTGAAGTTTCCCTAATAAAGAATTTGGAAAAGCTGTGGTCACAGGCTGGGTTTGATTTTCGGCTGCTGTGATTTTTCTTTGACCCGTGCATTTTTCTGAGTACACTCGGGCCTGTTTCGATTTTCAGTCTTTACTGTATTTGGTTACAGTATGTTTAAAAGTTTATCCCAAATGTAATGCTATGGTGCTGCGGTTCTATGACTCTTGAAAAACTGCAGATTTACTCACCCCATTTACTTACGTTTTCAGCTTCCATTATTTCCCCTGAGCTTTCAAACTTGCAGAAGAATTTCCCATCCTCTCCTCCGTCTGAAGCTCTTTGGTTTATCAGCATGCCTTCCCAGACTTTCCGTGGCCGTGATCTCTTGCCATTCGCGGCACAGGAAATTTTGCACAAATTCCAATGCCCACGTGCTGGGAAAGGGGGAGAGAGAGCTTTCTATTGCATTGCCTTCTTACCCACTTCTCCTTTCTTTCCTTCCAAGATGGGAGTCCATGTCTGTGCCCCCTTGCCCTTGGGCCCTGAGGCCTGGGGGACGGTGGGTCCGTGGGCCAGGCAGGGCCTAGTGCACCCAGCGGTGCCTTGGCCAGCTGCACGGCCGAGCCCCTTGCCCTGTAGTGGTGTGCACATCTCCTGTCATACTGCTTCCCTGCACTCCTTTCTTGCTGAAATGGATGTCTCCCTTTTGGGAAAGAGTGGACTAGCACCCCAGGGATCCTCTGGGCAACTTTTGTTTTGTTAGTCTTCAGAGTCTGTGCCCAGGGAGCCAGAGCCCCAAGTGTCCCTGAAGATTGACAGCTCTTTCTTTCTTCTTCCTCTCCTCCTGGTTAAACCACAAGGTGACACACAAAGGTATCCCGGAATTCGGTACTTTTAACCCAATCTCATATGTGCTAGTGCACTGTGGGCCTCCCTTCTTCCTGTGTCAGCAGAGATTTATGGAGCACCTACTATGTGTGAAGCACTGTCCTACCCCAAGGATCTGGTCATACACCAGACAGGTGACAGTCGTTGCCTTGCATTGATGGGGAAGAGGAATAAGGATGGGATTTCAACTCTGGAGGGAAAGACTCAGTAGCTTCTTCACCCTGTCTTTTCTTATCCATGAGTGGGGTGCTTCATGGTCTTTGATTTCTGCTTTCTTTTTTATACCTCTACTTAGAGAGAACCTTCCTGCTTTTCTTCATTTTTAAGACCCATTTGATATTTCACATGTGGTTTCTCTCTTTCTCACTCTTTGTTAAAAATGTTAATGGAAATATACTGTCTAGGTAGAAAGTGACTTAACAAAGTCAAGTTAAATAATGTTGAAATTCGGAGCGTACCCATAAAATGTTTATACTTCACAACTAACACTTTTATTAGGTGTTAAGATACAGCGTTATTTAAATTAACAAAAGATTCTCATCATGCCCTAAGATAAACAGCATTTTCAAATCCCACATTTTCTCTGGACTGTGGGGTTCAGCCGGCTGTGTTTGGGCCTGCCTGGGACTGCCCCTCTTCCTAAGGCCCCGTTTTGATGCCCGAGCTAACTGGGGCTCTGTTGAAGAGAAGCCTCATGTATATAAATGAACTAGTTTTAAAATTGTAGGGCACCTAGTCTGCTAATCAGATATGAAAATAGCTGTATCCAGAGAAAACCGGTATCTCTAAGAAATATCTAATCTGTTCGAGTCCCAAGACAGGCAGGAAGGGACATCGGTGATGGTTGCTTGAGCAGGCTGTGCAGAGAGAGAAATCACTTCACACTCCTGCCCCAGCACATCAGGGCTCTGCCTTCCACAACTGCATCACCAAACTCCGAGTTTGAGAAAGTCAGAAGGCAGAAGAAGTTCCTTGGATGGAATTTAGCTTTTTACAGGGGAGAGGGTCTGAAGATAATGCGTTCTTTACGTATACCCATCTTTTTTTCTATCTTCCATCTCTCTTTAAAATCATTTATCTTCGTGGTAAATTTATCTGATCCCAAAGGGGTGGAGTATTTTTAGTTCATTTAAAAGGAATGTTTCTACATACTTTTAAAAAAAATCAGATTTTTTTTTTATAGGCCTTTAACACAACACTGAAAATTTGGCATGTGCAAGCATGATTCAATGAAGAATCGTCTTTCCCTTATTTGAGGACATTCCGTTTTGAAATAACAGCATTAGAGTCCTTTGAAAATAACAGAACTTGAACAGAAAATTATTTCCCTTGGGGAAAAAAAAAACTGGAGCTAATTTTTCCTTTGACTGAACTGCTGCTGAGATCACACATTCGTATAAATGCCAAACTATACATATGCACATACATATGTATATGGAGGGGCGTGTGTGCCTGCGTGTGCATGGTGTGTGTGTAAAATTCCACCATACAATCATGCTACACGTGGGGAGATTTGTCTTTTTAAATCAACACTCATTCATACACAAGTCAGGAGGTAATACAAAACAGTGGTGTTGCTACCACATTTCACCCAAGATTTCAATTAATTTTTACAATTCCCCCATGCAGTGGGCAAATACTGTCATTATCTCGGCTTTATTGATGGGAAATTGGAGAGTGAGATCTTGTTCAAGGTCAAACGAAATCCAGGTCCTTGGAGCTCATGTGAAAGGGCAACTTGAGACGTTTATTTGGTATTTCAGTTCGAGATTGAGTATTTGTTGAGTGAATAAAATGCGGATATTTTTTAAAAAGGATTTTGGCTCTGAATTAGTCAAAATCTCTCCTTACTGCCTTTTTCCCTTTGAGAAGAATCTCTCAATGCTGTGAATTGAGTGGGATTTCTTCCTGTTTCAAGGAGGTTGATGAGGAAGAGCCTGAGGACCACACGTAAACCAACGAATTGAAGACGCAGAGGGTAGCCAGAAGGGCAGAGGCCAGTGACTGGTTCCTCCCCCAGTGGTGATGCAGGGGACTCTGTCCCCCAGGCTGCGTAGCTGCGTGTCCTCCGGACTTCATTTTGGACCTGTGGCTCTGGTCTGCCTTACCTGGGGGCAGCGAGTGTTCCCGCTGATTTAGATAATTCCACACAGAACCACCTCCAGATTGAACAAAAAGGTCTAGACACCCACAGAGGTGTCATGAGGATGTGGGGAAAACTCCAGGTTTATATACTTTGAAATAAAATGCATGTCCTGGACCCGGGGCTAGGCTGAGTCCCCAAGTCCCTGGGCTGGCTTTGTGGCTCGTGAATGAGAAGGGAGAATTTTGTTTAAATGGATCTTAGGTAATGGTCCCGGTCCTCGTTTAACTTTCCGATGATTGCAGTATGACCTGGGTCCTCCCAGGAACTGTTCTTGTCCAGGGTTCTTTGTGATTGCACTGTCTCCTTGTTTCTCTGTAACAGTGGCCTGAATTCACTGAGGACGTGCAGCTGACCAGCCACTATTGGCCATCACAGGAGGCTTCGCAGTGGTGAGGTTCCGCTTTCTTCCCACTTGACCCCTAAAGAAACCAGAAGGGCAGACGCTGCTGTGACCAGGATGAGGAGGGCACCCAGCGTAGTGGATCTGGAGCAGGTCTGTAGGACTCTGAACCCTGCCCCTGGGGAGGATGTCCCTGCTCTTGCCAGGGGATGTACCCATTTTACACACTGTGGGGATCAGATGTTGGTTGCTCGGTTCAAGTGCAGAGGAGGCTGGTTCCCAAGCCCGGGCTGGGTCTGGCCTCAGTTTTCTCTAACTCATTCTAGCACATCACAAACTCGGAGGATGGAAAACGTCTGCACCCACTGGGTTTTTTTCTATGTAACATCTACAGAGGGACATGCTCGCTCTAAACTGAGTAAGAATTGAATTTGAATCAATAGAAATTTAGTTTTCAAATATAGGAAGAGACCAGTAGGTAAGCATTTTAGAAAGAGATCATAAAAATCAAAATTTGGTTACTGCATCTATAGTCAGGGCTAGCCAGGAAGAAAACACAAACCCCAGAACAATAGGAGCTAGCTAGATAGACACATGGAGATAAGTATATGGAAGGAAGGAAGCCCCCGGCTCAGGTAAGAAGGGTGAGAAGTGCCGCATCTGCTGTGTGCAAGCTGAAGTTCTGGTCGCTGGCGCTGTGGCTCCAACCCAAACCTGTCCCGAGAAGGGGTCTGAGCCCACAGCCCCGAGAGCCAGCAGTGTCTGGTGTCTCAGGGCAGAAGAGGTGAGCCCCAGCTTAAGAAGGGGCAGTAAGTGCCCTTACACTGCCCCTCTGTCAGTCCACGCCCACCATGGATCCCCAGATGTCCCCCCACATACTGGGGTGCTCATCATGCATCCTGTTGACTCAGCACTACTTCTCCTGGGAACACCCCTCAGACACACCCAGGAATAACACTTGGCCAGCTATGAGTGTCCCTCAGGCCAGCCCAAGAGGACCCAGGAAGTTGGTCATCTCAGGGGCAGGGTACCACTGGAGCAGGAGGCCTTGCCACGTGTTCTGGTGAGTGGCCACTATCATTGACTTGTTTGTCTCACAAAGATTGAGAATGACCAGGTATATATTCATCGCTCAGGGTGACTGTTAAAAACTGGGAATCAGGCTCTGCCCAAGATCTTTTCTATTTTATTGGTGAGGAAGACCTCATTTTGGGAAATCCTGCCTAGCAAGGCACTACTGGGAAGGGCTGTGTACGTCTATAGACATGGAAGTTCACTGTCACGTGGTTCTGGTCAGAAATGGCCTTATGGTGGTGGCCCATGGTCAGCTGTCTTAAAGAAGAAGAGGAATGGGATTTGCTGAGAATCTGACGTGGGAGATGCAAGGTGTGTGTGGTGTACACTGCCCAATACAGATGCCCCTCTCAGTCAAGCACCCTGCTGGGGACTGGGGGCAGCTTGACCATCACGGTAGTCTGCGATGTGTGAGCCCCGGGCAAGGAAGCCTGCCCCAGCCTGGCTGGCGGTCAGGGAGGCAGAAGGTCTCAGAGGAAGAGCTCTTTCCTCTAGGAGATGAGAAAAGGTCAGGGACGTGGACTCTGGTTATTGGTGCCCTCATCCATGCATCTGACTTCCTCGACCACCCCTCCATGTCCGTGGGAGCTCTTCTGCTGCCTGGGGATGGATACACGGTGCTCAAACCTAATTGGGAGACTCTTGGGGGGGACAGTACTGTGAGGGCTTGGGTTTCTCCATCGTCTCCCACTTGGCCTCACAACCTGTAGGGAGATGTTAAGGCTTCAGCTGGGCAGACTTCGGGGCTGCCCTGCATCACGCCACAGTGCCCAGGACAACCCCACACAAGAGTTACCTGGCCTGCCGTTGCAGCCTGAAGGTCTAAGGAAACCTGGTCTAAAGTGCAGAAACGAGGGCAGGTTGGTGGACGGAGCAGTTTGTGCTGGCAGAGCTCAGATAGATACAGGCACGGAAGGAGGTTTCATTTGGAAAGAAGCGTTGGGTCAGGGCCACCAGGGTGTGAGGGCAGGAGGGTGTGGGCCAGTGGAAGCTGCCTGTGCCCTGTGAGCAGCCGGGAGAGTCACGCTGAGCTGAAGGGGTGACAGCTCTGTGTTCAGCAGCTCGAGGAGCAAGAGAGGACCAGGGAATGAGGGGAGGTGGTGACTGACCCCAGCAATCTTGGTTGACGTCCTAATGACAGTGTGAGGGGAATGGAGAAGAATGTATCCCACGGCACTGCAGAGGTTGAGCGGTGGGATACCTCAGAGGAGAGACCTCTCCAGAGCTGGGGACCTGGGCAGCGGCCGCCGTTCATGATTGACAGGTGCAGCGGGCGGAGGGATGGGTAGGCGCATCCTGGGGGCGTCCACTTGGTGCCACGGGCACACCATGTGACCCAGGCAGGAGCCCAGAGCCACAACGGGATCTGGGACCGAGCTCACACCTTCCTTCTAAACCAGAGGTGCCGACCAGCAACCTGCAGCCCCATCTGGACTGCAGATGTGTTTGGTTTGACTTGCGTCATGTTTTAAAGTTCTTTAAAAATCCTAACAACATACACAGCGAGAGGCCGCGTAGGGATGCCCGTCTTTCTCGCTGGGATTTTGAGAGCATCTGGCACTTCTGGGCTTTGGATTTTGCAGGCGGGAATGTGGAGGCTCAGCTCCTATAGACGGGGCATGCTGTCCCCAGGTTGCTTCGACTCAGCACCACCACCTCCTGTGGGGTGACCAGGCCAGTCGCTCCATCCAGGTGCCTCTCCTCAGCAAGCCCCTGAGGTTGGGAGCCTTTGAGAGGCAGCTCTGAAACCTTCTGCACCTGCCCTCCTGAGGTGTGCCTGCCCCCTGGTGCTCTGGGTGGTTTTCTTCTGCTGCATGTCCCCCAGGACGCCCGCAGGGTGCCAGCTCTTCACCTGCATCTGCTGCATCCCAGGTGCTTTGCCCTTGGCTGCGGCCATTTTGGGGAATGAACGAATGATCACGTGGGCAGGGACCCAGGGCTCTCCCCTCCCTGCCCTGCACCCTGAGTTCTCCTTGGGCCTTTGCAGTGCTTCCCTCCCAGCCTTGGTCTTCTCCAACCTACTCATGAACCGAACCTTCCTCGATGACACCCAGCAGTAAGACGCCTTAAGTAAGTGGCCTCTCGGCTCCTCACCCAGCCCCACTCACCCCACGCTCTGCGTCTCCTGTTTCTGATGCTTGGCTATCTCCAGTCAGGTCCTGTGCACATGCCACCCTGACGTGGAAGCCTCTCCTGCTCTGTGTCCCTGGGCCCTCTCCTTTGGCCAGCTCTTGCTCCTGGCTGCTGTGTGTCCTGCCCAGCACTCACCACCATGTGACAGCACATCAGGTTGGACGGTACAGGATTGCACGTTTGCTGTACCTCCAACCAGTGCAATGCCCACAATAGCATATGGGTCTGCTTAAGACACCCATTCCTTCATCGTCTGCTCCCCTTCTGTGAAGATGCACGCTCAGGGTGGGCATGGGTGCTGCTTGCTCAGTGTCCTCTCCTCAGACTCCAGGCATGTCGTGGCTACTCACTAAATATTCATCAAATGTGAAACTTCTGCATTGTCTTCCTGGGGCCTTTCAGTGACATCTCCACAGCCCTCAGCCCTCACCTCTGTGCTCAATGCAATTCTCAGCCATTCTGATTTCCCCTGACCCTACTGTCTGCTCTCCACCCAGCCCCTGGCTTCTCACATCACCCCTTCCAGATCATTCTCTTGCGCTCATCTCTGAGTGGGGTGCGAATGAGTCCCACGTCTCTATCTGGTCCTAATCTCGATCCACAGTGAGCTGTTGGTGTCAGCCACACTTGCTCCCCGGAGCTCTGTGCTGGGCAGCCCAGAGCTGCAGAAACCTGGGGTGCCTGAGTCAGCATCTGCCTTGGTTCTTGGAAACCTGCCTTCTCTTCCTGCTTTGTGCATTTCCACCCATGAGTCTGTGCTCAGCCGCCAAATCTTGAAGACTTCTTTGTTGCTGTCCATCTTAGGGCCCCGCCTGCTCGGCCTCCAGCCGGTTGACCTCCTTTGAGATGCTCCTGGTAGCTCCCCTTCTTCCCTCTCTCTTGGCAAATGTCTGCATTGACTCACTCATGCATTCACCCACTGTTTCCCACCTCCCCCTCCATCCTACATTTTGACATTAATTAACAGATTATTTTTTGGTGTAATATGTGAGTAGGGTCATGATTCCATACAAATTGTATTTTTACTTTGTGAATGATTTTGTGTTTTCCCACCTGTGTTTCAAGTTTCTTTTTCCCACATTGCCCTCTGCACCACTGGTTTGCTTATTCTTCCTAAGGGTACAGTGCATCGTCCAGGTGGCAGCAGCCACAGAGCCTGAGCAGGTCAGGCCTGCCTGTGAGTCCACCAGTGTTCTCCCTCTGGGTAGGATCTGAATGCCTCTTCTGTAAACACAGCTGTAAGGAAAGAAGTCAATGAGCACTGCATGAGTCTGTGGCACAATAACAAAATCCCAGAGGCTGCATACTTTACAAAGAAAACCCAAAAGGTTTATTTAGCACACAGTTTTAGAGGCTGAAAGCCCAAGACCATGTGCGTGGCCTCTGGTGAAGGCCTTATGGCACCTTCCAGCACAGTGGGAGAACCACGTGTGGCGATCACAGGGTGGGACCGGAAGCTAGAGAGACTCGGGGTCCAGGCTGGCTCTTTTCGTAGCAGCTTACTGTAGAGGGAACTATCCAGGGTCTCACTCATCCCTTCTGAGGTCAGTTCTCTGTGACCTGATTACCTCCCTCCAGGGCCTGTCTCTCAAGGGTCACACCCCCTCTCAACCCCACCTCTCTGGGTACCAAGCTTCGAGCCCTGGCAGCCCTGGGGGACACATTTAGGGCACGCCAAATCACAGCCAGCACCCTCTCCCCGCCAGACTTCCCTCCCGTGTCCCTCCAGCCTGCCCTGTCCATCTGTCCTCTGCAGACCGTGTTCCAGGAAGCCGCTCTGCCTTTCCTGTGGGCATGGGCCCTGCGTGGGGGTCAGTGCAGCAGGGGGTCAGAGTGCAGCTCTGGCCACCGTAGTGTGAGCGGAGCTCCCCGGCAGCCCACGTTTTGCTTTGAGGGTTCATGAAGGCGGCCCTGCGAGGCCTCCACATGGCCCCTGCGCTCTCTGCAGCGTCCCACTGCCCACCCCGCAGCACAGGGGGTCTCTCTCTCCCAGCGAGGCCAGGGCTCAGCTCTCCCTGCCCAACTCCTCCTGTGCCTACGGGGCCTCTTCAGGATCTCCCCGCTCTACACCTTGCAGTTACATGACCAGGTCGTGAGCTTTCGGGGGCCAGGATCACGCTTTCTACATTTTTTGGGCTCCAACTCCAAGTGCCAAATGTCTACCTGACTTTCCACAAAGATTTGTGCGATTAAAAAAAAAATTGAGACTGTGAATGAAACACAAACCTGTATTAAAACAGAGTTCCACTGCCCTCTGATTCCATCGGGAGAAAACGGTCAGTGTTTCCCATCTAGCCATCCTGCTGTCTTAAAGTCCTGGGGACTACCAAGGTGTCCCAAGGACTGACCCGCCCAGGTTCTCAGAAACCGGGAAAGGCACGCTTTAATTAGGAATCTGCAGTTCAGCATTTGGCCAGAAGATGGTGCAGTGGCCAAGGGAACTTTCCTTCCCAGAGTCAGAACTCTGGTTTTAGGGAAGGGAATAACTGCAAAGCCACCAACTCTTAAAGACATTGGGGACCAGTGGTTCCACTTGGGCTCTGACACCATCCCGGGGCTGGGCGAGGGTCATGCTTTCGTGTGATCCGCCCCTTCCTCCTGCCTGGCATGATGAGCCCGAGTAGTCTTCTAGTTAGCTCAATATTATGGTGCACCAGAGTGGGGCTGAGCATTTTTTTCTTATTTGTGTTTCCCCAGCCAAGGAAAAAAAGCTGAGAGGGGCAGAAGCAGAGGCCAGGCAGGTGCCCCCATGCCTGGGAGCCACGGCACCTCCTCACACTCAACGCACGCACCTTGCACGCTCTTATTCTGGTATTAGTAGGGATGCTGCAGCTCAGCCTGAGTTCCCGAAACACTGCGGCCACCCACATGCCTGGATGTGTCCAGAGTGTGTGTCAAGGGTTTCCTCTACCTCAAAACAGTGATGGGGATGGTCTTTCCATGTTGTTGAAATATCCAAAGTGAATTGCAAAGTGGCCTAATCTTCCCATTATCAAGACCCTCAGCAATGCCCGGAGCCCGGGACGCTGCAGGGCAGCTGCCTTCAATTCACCACGACTGTTGCAGGGGCAGTGACGTAAGGAAGACTCCCAGTGGGTGCCGATTTGCTATCTTTCATCAAGTTTGTGTATCATGTACTCGCGGCTTTTTTTTTTTTTTAAGCATGTAAAGTCTCCTGAAAATTGAAAACTAATTTATTATCATGTAGTTATTAGCACGATCACAAAAGAGGTCACCGGTCTTTCCTTTAATTTCTGTCACAGGCTGCAGGCCGTATTATGCTAAATCAAGGATACGGGAGATAATTAACACAGCAGCTCTGGCAAGTTTAATAGGTGAGCAACGAACACCGAGAGTCGGCCCTCAAAATCCACGTCTTCATTACCAGCCGCCTGGGCGCAGGGACCAAGCAGGGGCATGTGTGTTGTGGAGACCCCGAGTTGGGCACAAGTTCTCATGAGTTTCTGTGAACCCATCACAAGACTGAGAGATTTTGAGGTGAGAAAAAAGTTTTATGTTTTGTTTAAAAAGTATGAGAGATCTTCAGCCATTTGGTGTGTGCCAACATTCTCACCAGGGGCAACGCTGACCCCCGGCCCCTGGGGACATGTGGCACTGTCCTGAGATGTTTTTGGTTGTCACTACTAGGGGAGGGGGTACGACTAGCATTTTGTAGATGCAGACCAGAGATGCTGCTAACCCTCCTACAATGCACAGCACAGCTCCCTCAACTCCTGCCCCAAAGAATCAGCCCGAAATGTCAACACTGCCGGCTCAGAACCCCTGCCCAGCCACCCACTCCCTGGGTTTATGATGGTTGCCAACAGGTGTCACCGCAGGCTCTGTTCTATTTGCAGTGTTATCAAAGAGAGAGCCCATAAACTTGCAACATATGGAACGAAATCCCAACTGCAAAGCTTTTGTGGAAGGCAGTTACATGCTGGTGAGCTGAGGCCTATGTAACCAAAATTGATCAATTACACAAATTAAGCAGAGCCCTTAAGGAATTTATTTTATTGGTCTGGACATCTGTTGCAGTATTGTCCAAATCCAAAACTCAAATGGTGCCTCGGGTTGCCAAGTTAGGCAAGAAAATCTAGCAGCTATAAAAGTACAACTGAAAACCCTATATTAATATCACGCCCATCTGCTGAATGTTACATAAATATGCAGACTTTTTATTTTCCTTGGGAATAACATTTATTTTTACAGTGCCCAGTTTGACATTCTTAGGACATTCTGTTCAGTTTATTACACTGTAACTTGAAATGTTTCTTCAAAAATGCATTTATAATGTTGTTGTTAATCTTTTTTCAAGGGTCTCTGCCACCTGTTTAACTTGTAGTTAAATAGAGAAGTGCTCTTTCTTATAGGAAGAATGGGAAATCTTTGGACAAAGAGGCTCAGAAAAAGATTTTTGAGTAACACTCGTGTAGTGTAAAGGGAAATTACATAACAGCCACGAATGCTAATATTCCACCGCGCTCTTTCACAAGTTGAAATGTAATCTCCATTTTAAACTAAATTAGCATCATTTCCAAACAGAGTATCATATTTATATCAGATTTATACAACCACATCAGATTACTATTAACATGTAAAATAGTCTCTTTTATGCCGTGGGTAAAAATAGGGAGGAAGAGAATGATTTGATTTCTGCTGCCGCGTCAGGGGTTGAAACTGATCGGAGTGGACCTGTTGGGGCTGAGCGTGGCTCCCGTGGCGGGCGAGGCAGTAGCCAGGGTGGCTCTGCCTTCGGAACCCCAGGGGTCCTGGCATGGGGAGAACCTGCAGCTAGGGGAGCACCTCCGAAAGCCTCCTGTCCATCTGCTGAATGCTAAATCAGCATGTTGGTTGGTTATTCAAAGATGCCGACTGCTTATGCCAACTGGGAAATTATAGGCTACGGGTAGGGAAACTTAGAGGGCGGTTTTTTTTTTCTCCCCGTTGTTACCCCTTCTTCATTCTTGTTGTGTGTGTGTGCAAGGGAACGCTTTCTGGTAGCGAATGATGGAATCAACAGTGGTCTGTTAATAAGACGCTCCAGAGGGGTCAGGGGCCCTGCAAAAGCAAGAACAAAACCAAAAAACCACACCAACAAAATAGAAGGCAAACAATACCCAGCACAGGCGTTCCATTGTTTGTTTTTTTATTTTAAAGGAAGAAAAAAGATAGAGCATTTATTAAATTCTTTTTAGAAAAACACTTTTGGTTGCAGAAGTGGTACCTGCTTAGTAGGGGACGCTGAGACAACAGAAGTCAAAAAGCTTGTGAGAAATCAAACTGATTCTATTTATTTTAAGCAAACATACCTCGCTGGAAATCGAGGTGTGGGAGTCCAGGGAAGGGCAGCTGGGAGTGTTGCTTTTCCACACTGGACAGTGTCCCTGAGTGATTTGACTATCACTTGTTACAAAGTTCTTATATCGGTGCACTTGTAACGAAAGAAGAGAGGGTTTCCTGGATAAGTACTAAGGAAATCGCTTCTGGGTAAATGCACCTGCACAGGCAAAGAAGAGGAACTTGGAGGGAAAGCGGGAGACAGTCGGAGGAGTCTGAATTGGCCCCAAGGGCGAGAATGGCAAGGACTTGCCATGGTGTGCTGTGGACTAATCCTGTAGGAAATCAGAAACTTCCCACAGTTGTGCCTAACTGCAAAAAGGAGAACATATTTGAGTGCTACAGGGTCCCCGGCAAAGAATTTTCACACCAGAGGTTGCCTTATAAAAATGTGGGATGCGTCCAGATGGGGCACCCCACCCATTCACACCCTGCACCCACCATTCTCACCCGATCCCTGGAGCCTTGCTGAGGCCATCTCCGTTTCTTTTTTACTCCACCCGTGAAATAACCAACACGGAGACTGACTCACAAAACAGCGTGTGGTGGGGAAGTAAGTCTATAAAAAAGTATCGGTCTCTCCGAATTCAGCACTCTATCAAAATCTAGGAATCCTCGGGGTTTATATTCATGCACCCCGTTCAGTAGAGAGATGGTGGGGGACCGGCGGTGGCTGGCTTTCGGAGACAGACTCTAACTGGCCAAACCAAGAATAGCTCTTTGATTCCCAGTCCCCTTAAAACCAACGGGCATTTTCTTTCCATCTTGTGGAAGAGCTGCTTTTATTGGAGTCATAGCCCTTAGTCTATCTTTGGACTCCTGATGTAATTTTTGAATCACCAGCCATTTCTGAGACCACAAGATATTTAAAAATAAGATAAGAAATATTGACTGAGACTCCCGTGAAGCCTGCGAGGGAAACGCCGCGGCCGTGCAGAGGTTTAGAGAGGAATTTCTCTCCTGCAGTTTGCGCACATTGGAAATGACATGATCCATCCCGAGGAATAACTTAAGGCCTGATCCACTTAAAGAGCTCCAAGTGATTTATCATAAATGTGCTTATTTGGAAGGGTTAGCGGTAACTGCTTATGGGAGGTGCTGGGGTTAACTACCAAAATTGTACATAACTTGGATCCTGTGTATGGCAATTAATCAAGAAATTATATTCTTTGACTTTCTCGCAACCCACACGGAGTGCTACATCTGTGGCGTGTTTAAATGGAGAGAGAGAGGGGAGAGATGAAATATTTCTTCTAATAAAATGCTAATGGTTTTGTTTTGGAGAAAAAAAATATTGAATTATTGTGCTGTTAGATTTATCTCTATGAGGGTTTCTCGAGTCACAGTCAATAAGTACTTCTGACAGCAAACCAACTATTTCCGGAATATGATATTCCAGCCCTCTGAATGCCTGCAGGATTATGGTGAGGCCGCTTGATAAGACCGACAAGCAGCCTAGGAGCAAGTGGTACAGGGAGCGCTGGAGCACTGGAGGTCAGCCCTGTGGGCATTCGATAGGTTTTTGGAATATATCAATATATCCAGGTGAACAGCGGCTGCACTTGGGCGTATTCGCTGGCAGGATGGCCACCTACTGAGTGGCACTAGAACTGGGCAGCCGCGAGCCCAGAGCGGCCCTGCCCCTTTGAGAACCCCAGAATCTAACAAAGGAAAGATTCTGTCCACCAGAATGGTTCTGGGAAGCCACTGCCACTGCTGTGCTCCTCAGCGAGGTGGTTCACATTGGTGATTTTAGTGTTTATTTCTTCAATCATTAGTATCTACTTTGATTGAGCCAAGTGCTAGAAAGATGGAACGAAACTTCTTAGGATTCCTTAGTGCACCAAAACATTGAGACACATAGTTTGGAATGTAAAAATAGTATCCCTCATGAAATAGCCCAGTGCTGGACCATTGGCTACAGGCTGGACGCTGCCTGGTTATTTTCTTTCTCAGACAGGGAAGCTGTGGCTTGAAAAGAGCTGGATTGTGCAGGAGGAGGGACCAGTGTGTGGGAGCTCCGTGGGGCTCCAGCACTCTCCCCCTACTGTGTGAAGACAAGGAAGTCTCCCTGAGGTCCCAGTGCCCACCCGTGCGCTGATGCCGGGCACCAAGCTCCTGACTCCCTCATCCTCACAATACTATCATTATCCCCATTTGGCAGGTGAGCAAACTGGGTGCTGAGGGGTCAGTGATTAGACCGCGGATGCATAGGAAGTGGAGAGCAACCTCTGGCTTTCCGCCACTGGATAGCAGCCTTTGGGTACTGGGTGGGGTTGAAAGATGGAGAAGAGTTAATGGAGGCAAAAACTAGCCAGAGAGAGTTAATGAGGGGCCTGGCCAGGCTTGTACCACCCTCTGATCTGAACCAGTCGAAGGGCACAATGCTGGACTTTTCAGAAATTTCTCTAAGTCACAAAATCTGTATGTTAGCAAGATCTATCCTGTTTGTTGTCATGCAAAAATCCAACACATCTAAGAAGTCAGACTTGTGAAAGTTGTTTGGGAGATGGGTGCAGCGGCACACACCTGTAATCCCAACGGCTTGAGGAGCTGAGGCAAGAGGAGTGGAAGTTCAAGGCCATCTCAGCGAATTAGGGAGGCCCTAAGCAACTTAGGGAGACCCTGTCTTACCATAAAAACTAAAAAGGGCTGAGGGCGTGGCTCAGTGGTTAAGCACCCCTGAGTTCTTATCCCTGGTATGGACAAAAAAAAAAAAATCAAAATAAGTCATAGTGGGTGATTGTTTTTAATCTTTTATTCTGAAGTAACTGAAGACTCTTAAGAAGTTGCACAACTGTGGAAGAGTGCCCTCCACCTTTCAGCCAGGGTCCCCCGTGGAAACAATGGACCTGCCACAGCACACGTCAGAGACGGGACTGGCAAAACCCTGGTGTTGGGACCCCAGATCCAAGATGTAGTTCTCCAAATCTGAGGCTCTCCCTCTTGTTTTGAGCAGTTCTGTTATTGTATCACCTGCTTACATTTGTGCAATCAATAAGATACAGTTTTTTAAAAAAAAACACTATCATAAAAGGAAAGGAAAATAAAACATTTGAAACGATTATTTCCTTATTTGGCATTGTCAGGTTTGTGGGTGCTTTGCTGAAAATCCTACTCTTTTTGAAATAACTCCTGTTTAAATGCATTATTACCAT